TGGTTCCAAAATTTTATGTTTCAGTGACGTCCACTAATCACTGCCCATCAGGCATAAATCAACCGCCCTCCATTTAATTCTAATTAACCCGCCAGTTTGAATTGGCTATATATATATATATATATATATATATATATATATATATATATATATATATATATATAATGTAGGTACCAATATGAGATCGATGGAAAATGAGCATAGCAGAATAATAACGGCCTTAAACTTGATGAAAATAATTTTTTTATCGTCTAAATGATTATGTTATTATCAAGAGGAAAGATCAAAGTAGTTTTTGATTATTTTTTTTACATTTTTAATAATTTCTAGCACTTCAAAAATTTTCGTTAAAAATCTTGTATTTTTTTGATCAGCAAAATTGACAGAAAATCGATCGTCAGTCATTTTTTTAACTTTCGTTTACAAAAGTGAAAGTTTCCTTTTAAAATTCGTTCAAAAAATCAATTATGATATTTTTAAAATTAATTTAAGAAAATTAGAAATTATAAAGTTTATTTAATGTATTTTGAAACAAACATTACTTACTTTCTGCGCTGAAAAAACAAGTACTTTCAAACGATAGAAAGCCGGGCTTAACAGAGGTGTTGATTGACAAGTGATATGTGCGTGATTTCATCTTACGGGAGGAAAAGTTATAGTACGGAAGGTCACAAGTGACGGTTTAGCTTTATGTGAACAACTTATTTACCTCGTTATTTTTAAGTAGGCATAGCATGATAAAAACGGCTTTAAACTTTACGAAAGCAGAATTTTATCGTCAAAATGTTTATGTTATTACCAACGCAAACCAAGTGACAGACTATTGTTTTCATGATGCCTCCGGTTTTCCGTATATTTGAATTTAAGCTATTTTGGGGTACAGAAAAACATGTTATATTAGATTTAGCTATTGGCAACTTTCTGATTGTAACCAGCTTTATTTTATAATCTGTAAATGATATTTATCTACTTAATAACACCATTGACTAAGGTGTACAAGATTTTGATTAATTTTAGAATATTTAACAACTTTAATGTAAAAAAGAAAATAATTTAAGAAATAACAAATAATTGTTGTAAAAATTTATTTTTCATCGAAAACGTTTTTTGCTTTCAGAAAATATTATCCATATTCATACAAACAAGTAAAAGCAACTAAAATCTTTTGAAATTAAATAGTATCTTTGTTTTATTGAGTTTTGTATTCAGAGCTGATTTTAAGGTCGAAGGGTGTCAACTGAAAAAAATGATTTGCTTTCCTCAAAGCCTTGTGATTTTAACTAATTAATCACTAAAACTGTACAAATTAGAATTTCATGAGTTTTCATAAATTAATTATGGGGTGGGGGTAATGAATATAAAAATTTTTTTTACCATGACTTTAAAAAAAAAATACAACATATTTATAATAATTTCCATCATTTGTGAATAGTTTCTGAAAGTTTCATTAAAATCTGACACTTATTTTTATTTTTGCAAGATTTTCAAAATTAATGACTGCCATTAAAAAAAAAGTACACAAAAATCTGCCATGTTATTTAGTAGGACATTCGCTGATGAAGAGAAACGATGTTTTTCAATCAACAGTTAGAATGCTTTAATAAAGACAGAAAATTTTTGAAAAATAATTAAAAATTACTTTGTTCTTTCCTCTTACCTGTCAAATAAACATTTTGACATAAAATTTTGTTTTCGTCAAGTTTAAGGCCGTTATTATCCTGCTATGGTCATTTTCCAGCGATCTCGTGGCGGTACCTAAATGCAACAGTAGAGGTCATCAGTGATGTTACCCTGGCTTCATTACGGATTTCGGGTATTGCAACATCAGATCCATTCGGCCAGGTACCCAACCTGTTAACAGGCCAAATATACTTAAAATACATTTATGAAATGCAACGGTAGAGGTCATCAGTGATGTTACCCTCTGATGATGACCTCTGATGTTACCCACACTGTATATATATATATATAATATACATATATATAATATAATATACACACACGCACGCACATCCACACACACACACACATACACACACACACACACATATATATATATATATATATATATATATGCTATCTACATTTTCTAAAAATTATTCCAACCCAAAAAAGGCAATAAAGCCACTAAGACGCAATGGGTTACTGAGTGTTAAAGAATATGAGAAAAATATACTATTAAAGAGAGAAAATAGGGAGCGAGAAGTTAAAGTAGAAACTGTTAACAGAGAACTTACGGTTACATCTAGCCATATCAACTGTAAAATGATGAGACTCTAAGGTTAGCATCAGTCCTACTGATGAAAGGTAAAAAGGGGTTTATCAGACTATTAAATAAGAGCAGTTTCATTTATACGTTAGAAATTAAACTATGCACAACTGACTATTAAAGAATTAAAACTTTTCGCGTATTTTGACGTTATTCCATGGTCTTATTTTTAGTCCAAATCCGAAATTTTTTTTTGCTCATGCTAAGTCTCGAAAAATACTACAAAATTCACTTTTTCATCCACAATATTGAATATGTTAAATTCAACATTTTAACAAGGAAAATCTCAACTTGATGTTAAAAATTGCCGCAAAACCGTGTTGATTTATTTAAGACTAGCTTAAAAGCCCAACTCCGTGCGAACTTTTAATCTAGTTCCTACCCTGAATTCTCTAAGTTATTTTCCATCCTGGCAAAGTAGCATTTTTGTCTCTAAATGAGGTTATTACAAAACAGTTATTGTAGCTTCTGATGTGCTGGATGAAGCGTTTTGAGTTCCCATTCAGAAGTGATAGCAATGGCTCTGCAGGAACTGGTAGCTCTTCCAACTGTATCGTTTGTTACAGCACATTCGATCTGGTTCATAATTGAATTTGAGAGCATTACAATTCTTACACTGAATGATCATTGATTCAGTAGATATCTTTGGATGATTTGAATAGTCACTGTCACAGTTGTATTGAAAAGCCAGCTTGGACAGACTAAAAAAAGAAACTGCACTCCTTTTAGCATGATTGTGATTATCACTGACCTGTCTTGGGTGTCTTTCATCAGGCGCTTTCAAAGATCTTGCTCTTCTATGGTTTTCAGCAATCTGGTTCTCTCCTTCATAAAGTCTGACTGTCATCTTCTGCAGCTCTTGATCTCTTCCTTGCTGTATCTGCTTCTCTCTTGGCTTGTACCCCTTTTCATGTTTCAGATGCTCTTGATCTTCTATGGTTTTCAGCATCTGCTTGTTTCCTAGCTTGTGCTTCCTCTGGTGTTTCTTCTGCTCTTCTCTACCTTTGATATTAGAGCTCTGGTCTTTGGATTTTTCCATGGCATTTTGAAGAAATAACTTTGAATTCTTCAATTTACTCCATAGGACTTCAAAACACGAAACTTTTTATTTTAATTCTGATTCCTTGACATTTTGAAAAAAAATTAAAAGTTTTGGAGATATTTTAAACTGAATTTAAATCATTTTTTTTAAATTCACAAAGTTTTTGTGTTACTCTAAACTCAATATAAATTTAAAATTTTTAAAATCACTAATTTTTTTTTTCAGTTATTTTAAAATTTAAATTTTTTAACTGTTCCCTCCTAATCCGGACCCAAATCCCAATACTGGATATCCAAGCACCAGATGAAGGGCATATCTTCAATCCTAGGATCATCCTGATTCCAGAAAAGATATATGTCTATGTAGAGCAAGTGTGGCCCGAGTTAGCGTTTCAGACACACGGACGGACAGACGGACAGAATTTGCCTTTTATTTATTTAGATGGAATGATCTGTTTAGATACATTGTATTTAGTTTCAATTTTTCTATTTGAATTGTTCGCCTATATTGTATATGATCCTGTTACGGTGTAGAACCATAGAAAGATAACACGGACTCGGATATAAGGTTAAATAGTATATTCTCGGAAATATAGTACAAAGGTAAATGTGGACTGGAGAGTACTTTCTCTCACTGGTGTTCTGACTCACTCATTCACTCACTCTATGGCTACTACTCGGTGACCCTCACTTGATGACTCCTTTTACTCAGAGTTGGTAGCCATATTATATAGGGGTGGAAGGTAGGTCCTCACAATAGATCCATTATAATACATAATTAGGTCATAATAAAATTTGTATTTTATATGAATACTACCTTATGAAATTTGAGATGCAGTAGAGTTGGGGCCCCGTGTCATAGATTCATGTGGGGTGGGGGGTCACGTGACCCTTACACCGGCCCTGCTCACCAGCATGATCCAAACTACATAAGACCAACATTATTTATGAATTTACATTCTCCTTACGGAACTGTGTTCCTGATGAAAACAAATTCACGAATACGTCGAACATACAACTACATGCGTATCAAGAAGTCCTACTTTGTATCACTCCGTTCATAGCTCCATTAGGATCTATTCAAATACACACGGAGATCTACCAGCTTCTGTCCGCAACATACTTGTAGAAAATACGGTAATCAAAAGACTCGTGCACATGCAATAAACGGTTAAAATAATGAAAGCGTTAATAATAAAGAAGTTAACTCTCAATATCAATTGGAAACACGGCCAAAACGTTCTAACCATGTTCAGAAAATGAAAACATTCTCATCCCTATATATATGTATATATACACACAGACATATAACAAAAATGTTCATATTTAGTTAAAAAAAATCTTTGATAATGGCTATTAGTTTAGTCGAAAATACTCGGACGTACAGATTATTTAGACAGTATAACACACTGAGTTGACTGATTTTTTTCTGCATATTCTCGTGTTGTATTACAATAAACTGAAAATATTCTTTCAAATTTCGCAAACTGTTTCCGACGCGTGTTTGCACCTGCTGCATCATTAACATAAGCTTTAGAGATTCACTGCCCAGCTTCCGTTGCATTTCTCTCAAGATAATCCATGAAGAGTAAACTATATCGAATGTGAATTTGATATTCGGCCATGATTTTCACCAAATTAAAAGTAGTTTATCACTTTTCTGGAAAGGATCCTTTAAGAGTATACGACCTACAGTCAAATCACGCTGAAAACGCCGGTTCCTGTTTGATCAGCAAAGTTAAGTAGCGTCGAGCCTGGTCAGTATTTAAATAGGGGACCGCTTGGGAACACCGGTACTGTAAGCAAACTCTTACAATCCGAAATATGTTTCAGCTTTAAATAACCCACAAGGGATTGATAATCAATCACACAAGACTATACACGTGCAAACAGTAAAAAGTTGAGTAAACTGCAAACGTACTTCTAAGATTTTCTCTAATATCGGGCAAAAGATGACGAATGGAACCTTTACAACAACCTAAAACACACACACACACATGCTTACATGCACGTACGTACATGCATATACACACGCATACATGCATAAATGCACACATATGCACGCGCATTCGCATATACATATACACATACATCCAAACACAATCGATCCATATCATTTAAAGTTTAAGATCGTTGAAGTCTTAGTAAATAAAAAAAGAACGGTATTCCTGATTTATATAGAAAGATAGATGCAGCAGGTATTGCGAAAAGAAAGAAAATATTAAAATAAAACGATTGTTAACAAAAACTTTATGAATACTTTTTAACTCTATCCAGTGGCAAAAACTGAATAAGATTTTTAATGTTTATGGACGCAAATTATTAACATACAACATCCATCAATCTTGCATCGGTAATGCAGACTTAGCTCATGTTTATATCACAAGAAGTGATTTGGTTTGGTTGTTTTTGTTTAATGACATATGAACTCCTGTGGGTTATTTCATTCCAAATTCTAAATATTTTGTGCGCAATTTTACAGCTTCAAATAAATATATTTTGTACACTATTTTACAGCTCTAACTACATATATTTTGTACGTAGTTTTATGCCTTCAACTACATATATTTCGTACGTAATTTTACGGATTCAACTACAAATGTACTTCTAAGATTTTACGGATTCAGCTACATATATTCTGCATATAATTTTATACTTTCAGGGTAAATATGTTTTTATAAATATATCGTTTATATATCGTCTATTATAACTGCTATATATTTCGGTATAAATCTATTCCTTAAGGAATTGTGATGACGCCTTCAGTACTTTCAAATAGTTTTTTCATGTTGTTTTCCTTGTACTATTTACGCTTTACGGTGTTTACTCGTTCCCCCACCAGAACGAGATGTGACACAAGGTCGTTTTAAAGTGGGGACTCGAGCGCGTACACTCGGCAAGGGACAAAAATGGCCCACAGCCCCCGCAACCGTCGGTTACGCTGGCCTCGGTGCGAGCACTAATCCCTCCCTCTTGTGCAATGGGAGGACGCGGCCTCGAGCAGCTGTGTCCCCAGGGCTGGGCACCTCTCAGTATTAGTTTCCCCTCTGTCCTTTGACAGAGAAGCCCCTGAGCGCACTCTGCCCAAAGACAGAGACGCAGCTGAGAGATGATAAGCCTGCGTTGAAAATCCCTCCAAGGAGGAATTTTACGCCTATGCTTTACATGGACTAAGTGAGTACATTTAGTTAAGATGTGTTTCAACGTAAGTGCAGGTTCGCATGTTGTACATGTTGGTTGATCTTCAATCTTCAATACAAGAAGTGAAAGAAAACAACTCCCATAATTATTCATTTCTTTATGTATGTGTGTGTGTGTGTGGAGATCATTCTTGAAAAAAAAAAAAAAAAAAGACTATGATCTGTCTCTTGCCACATATATATAGTGATAAAAAGTCCTTAAATAAATCGTTGTTCTTTCCGAACACGTCAAGATATCATTCTATGCGTTCATAAAACTAATTTCTGCTAAAAAAAAAATGGATATAAATAAAAGACAAATCCAATCACCAGTTTGGCAAGATCGATGTCTGTCAGCAACGCTGCATCTGATCAGTCTCCGGGCGTATGCATTCATGATAAATTGGATACTTCAGTCGATGCTTCGAACATGGCTTACTCATACCGTAGATAACCACATCTAAATTTCGAGAACAAATTATACTTTTCTACTGTTTTGTAAATAAATATTTATTTACTAACTTGCTAAGGGTACAAGTAAAAGATTAAATTCTCTTCAGTAATAAGAGTCGGTACTAACCAGTACTCAACAGCGCGAAGGCCACAGTTATTTATATATACTCAACTGAACTTTATCTAGAAATAAGCTATAAAAGTGAAGAATAAATTCTCTACCTAAACAATGGTCTGCGAGATTGGTGACACTATTATTCTATAGCAGGCAACCTTTTTATATTTACTAATGTTAGTCAAGCACAGGGTGATAATAGATCATTAGTATCTATCATACTTGGCGTGGCACATTTATAATAGTGTAATATGTATTGAGGACTGAATTTTCTATACTCGGTCATGGTTTACGAGGCTAGCTTGTTAACCATAGCACTAAAACATGTGATCATTTCTCGGTGGTATGTATCTTAATTCTGGTTACTGTTGTGTGCAGATGATTACGATTTTGTATAAGGTGTGTATGATACAATTTAGTTTGTGTATAAGTTTGGTAGTTCGTTCATAATGGGGAAAAATACAGGCTAATTTAAGACTATTCACTTTGCTTCAATGTAAAGAATGAAAGCATCGCAGCTGGGCTCGATGGCTTAGATTTAGCTTTCAATAGTTAAAGGAGATTTATTTATATATGCGAATGTAATTGCATTCTTTCAGGTTTGTATCGAAATATACAGGAGAAAAGAATTAGTGGTGACATCCATAAATAATTTAACCCGGGAGCAAACTCAGTACATTTGCACTCATGCCCTTGTGTACCCCCCCCGCCCCACAATGCTCATTCTAGCGTTGATACATAAACACATGCATGCACTACATGAATAATATATGGCGTATTATTGTCAAAGGCTTCAGTACATGATCACATTCTTAGACATTGTCATCATACTTATTATAAAACCCAGGTTGTGTGTGTGTGTGTGTCTGTATGTTTATATATTGGATCGGATTTCCTACATTTTTCAACCGATTTCAATAAAACTTCACAGGACTACGTAAAATTACCTTGCGGTGGTTCTGACAGCGCCCAAAATCGGAAAAACACAATTGTTTTTGCACAAAATCAATTTGAAAACACGATTAAGAGGAATCGCGAGAATAAAAGGGGGACAACTCATATCGAGTTATACTTATTATAAAACCCAGATTGTTTGTGTGTGTCTGTGTTCGTTTATATATGGGATCAGATTTCCTGCATTTTTAAACCGATTTCAACAAAACATCACTTTTTTTTGGCAGGTAATGTTTCTTATTGTCTTGCACACTTTTTTTCTTTATTTTTACATTCAGAATGCTTTAAAAATTCCATTTACAAGACAATTGTTTATAATAAAATTATATTCAATCGGTAGACTCATAACGATTGAAAACAATGTTTTTGTTTGGGTTTGACCAATTCGTAAAAGAAAAAAAAAACAAAACAAAAAAACAAACTAATTAAGACATGCGTGTCCGTCAACCTTAAACAATAATCTTTGTCAATTTTATTTTTCAGTCTTTATGATGGTCGATACTTGATCTATCTCTTACTGTTACATCCCCGGGCAACGCCGGGCTCTACTGCTAGTTATTATTAAATGACAGCTGTTTTTGAGAAGGGTTTATTATTGTAGTTTTATAATTTTGAATAAGGTGAGCTTCTTCAAATATTTCGCACAAAAAATGTTCACGATATTACGAACTAAGTCGTTTATGTGGCTATTCTTATTGAAGTAGGATGAAAAAATATGGAGTTAAACTTTGTTTCTAAAAAAATATGATGTTGGTGTTGGTGTGATACAGTAGTTACTATACTAGTCTTGCTAATGTAGTAAAATCGATACCCATTTAGGACTCCACGCTTTCAGCCTTGTGTTACGTTAATAAACGAAGGTTTGTTAATACTATAACAACTGATCGTTACCGCTAATTATTATACAATTATTTTATTTGCTTGTAGATGCAGTGGCGTAGCTAGAGTAAACGTCATCCGGGGCGGTCCGCTCAAATGTCACCCCAATGACCCCGATTCACCCTATGCTGAATGGTTAGCTGTAGCTAAATTTTCATACATGCTCTACCTCTACTTTACTCTACTGACCGGTACGTTACTGTTTATATGTATGATCCAAGACAAAATCCAATACCACAATATAATCAGTTCAAATCAAAAGATTTTTAAAATGCAACTGTTCAGAACAGTTTCAGAACAACTAAATACAAAACACGGCGATACACAAAAGAATGACATTCGATACTATGGTCTTAGAATGAATGTTTTCTTGTTTTCATTGTGGCAAACTGGTCAATGACATCGTCAAAATCTGTTTGTCTTGTAAGCTCATTTTCAATGGACAGCACAGCCAGATCCGACAGTCTCGACTGGCTCATGGTTGAAGTAATTTTATGTTGCTAATTTTCCGGTGTCCAATTTTCCGTTGCATCATTTTCTGGGTACCATTTAATTATCAATGATGTTTGAAAGTATTTTTCTTGACAAAAATGTTCTATTTAATTTTTAAGCATTTTTCGAACATTGTAAATCAACTGCATTCTTTTAAAGGTTACCTAGATAATTTATAAAGTTTATTTTTTTCTTGTTTTTCTTTATACAAGTAAAATAAATTTACATCGTATTTTGATGTTATTATGATTTTAGTTTTAGTGATAATTTAAAAACAATAAATATTTATCATTAGTACCAATAATGGAAAATTAAGTTAAAATTTAAAAGAATCGTTTTTGGAATCGGAAAATAGGCACAAATTTTTCCGATTCCGATACCGTTTCGATACCCCAAAAGTTCCGATTTTTCCGATTCTCGATTCCGATTAATCGTCCCAACACTAGTAGATATATTCAAAAAGTATATCGCTCACTCAATGGAAATTGTATCTCAGCGAATTGATACACAGGCAAGACTGAAATTGTTGCACTTTTGGCTTCGTATTTCGCTTTGTTGTTATTAATGATGCAGAGTTAAAACACCATATCATCCGATAAAATGTTGCAACAATGTCTCTTGTTAGTAACCAAGATTGTAGCAACTGAAACACATGAAAGCTGAAAACGTTGCTATTTTTCCTACTCACAAATTTCCCGACAATTTATTAGAAAATTTCTGACGGGGGTGT